TGGGTGGCCAGTGTACATTTCTTGTGCGATTCCCCAGTTAACTGCATGACCACAACTCGGCACTCGTGGCTGGTCTTACTACACACAGGTGGTCAGTATGCATTTATTATGCAATCACATGACCATTACTTGGCACTTTACTACACATAGGGAGTCGGTGTACATTTACTGTGCAACTGCCCAGTTAACCAAGCCACCGTGACTCAGCACTCATGGCTGGTCTAAACTGACAGCACAATTTACCAGTTAAGGGCGCTATCATTGCCCAGCCCTTGCAGGCAGTTTATATCGACTGCGCACTACGTGTAATGAATGTGTTGCTAAGGCCTGGAAAGCAGCAGCAGGAATAACGCCTTGCGCAGAGGACCCAAGGGAGCCTCTCGCCAGCCGGCCGGGCCCAAAACAAGCTGGCACCCCGCGACCCCGGCCTCTTGGACCCCACCTCCCCAGACCCCGGAGCCCTGGTGCCAGGCGCGGCTTCAGGGCGGCCAGACACAGAGGCCCCGCCCCCCAGGAGGCCCCGGCCCTCACGCCAACGTCGCTATGGCAAGCCCCGCGCGCGGGGGTGACTCACGCGCGTCAGACAGAGCCCGGGCCCCGTCAGGCCCCGGCCCGAGAGCAGGAGGCCACGGCGCCGAGAACAGCTGCGCGATAGCAGCAACAAGTAACGCAGCGCCATGACCCAACTGCCGCGTCCGGGCGCCGCGAGACTCCGCGAGACACAGTTCACGCATGCGCGGGCGCCGGGCTATGCCCACGCTGCGGCATCTGACGTCAACACGCCCTCGACGGAGAGGGGCAGGGGAAAGAAGCGGTTCAGTCTTCTTCCTGGCTTAGCCCCGCCTCTTCCGAACTCCGCCACTCGGGGCCAGCTCCCTCCAATCCGGCGACCCTAGCCTCGCCTCTCTAGCAGAGGCCCCGCCCCCACTGTCTAGGCCCCGCCCACTTCACCTGGCAGCGCCCAGTCCCGCCCCTTTCCCTTTCACCCGCATACACACTTGCCTGCTGGCCCGGGCCGGCGCGGGCTGGTTGGGGTAAGTGTGGCTGTAGGAGGCTGCGTCAGTGGGACTGTGATAGGAGTGCGGGGTGCGTGTGTGCGCCCTGAGTCAAGGTGACACAAGCTGCCGGTGCCAGCTGCAGCACGCGTTAGGGCAAACCTGGCAGGATTTGGGGTCTTAGTGACCACATGAAGTTAGACCTGCGTTTAAAGGCCAGCTCACAATGGCTGGAAAATTCAAACCACCTGAGTGGAGGAGACAGACACGTGCTGCCTTAGTGTGTGTTGTCATGTGGCTGCCCCCAGGGGCCCCCAGTGCAGCCTGCCTGGGGGTGGGGAGGAGCAGGACTCCCTGATGGCCCCACAGAGGTTGGCAGGGGAGAGACAAACCTTACAGACTAGTGGACTAGACCTAGAGAGCACACCTGTTTGCATGAGTTGGCTCACTTAGATGCTGAGGAAGGATAGCTGACATGCAGCTCTAGCCGGGTGTAATCTGGCTCCCCCCCCCCCACACACACACGCTCCCCAG